TGTTTTATCTTAGTAGATCTTTCTGTTTCAGACCTTAAAATGACGAACATAAATAAAACTTAAAGATCTTCTTTTCAGACCTTAAAATGACGAAAATAAATAAAACTTAAAGATCTTCTGCCCAGGCAGCAGGATATAATCTATTTTGGGTCAGGGTACTTTAACAACATTCTTGGCTAAATCACTTTCAGAAATATTTCTCTCTAGTGGTGGATATGAAGTGCTATCTTCGTGTCACAAAACTGCTGACGCCCTAGTGCTCAGTCGGCAGTGGGTTTGTCCTGTCCTTCTACACTGAGCATAGAAAACGTACCTCAAGGTCAAACACATAGTACACTTGCTTCCAGTTCACTATTTTCTGGGGTGGAGTGGCCCAACGATGACAAAATTGGCTGGAGGTTCGAAGCCACCTTATTTCATTCACATTGCTACCACATATATATTAGCAATATGCTTCAAGAAGCCTGCGATCTGTAACAGGTGAACTTTTCTATCTTCTTTTCTGGGTGGATACGTGAGCAAGGAGTGGCTTGCAGTTAGTGCCCAAGAAGGGTCTCTGTGGTTCTCTAACAGCAGGATTTGACTTTGTGGGGACTGGGGAGAAAATTCTAGACCTCTGAGCTCCAGATCCATGTTCTAAGAGGTCCCCTCTCTGTCTTGCAGATCTCAAATTCTCAATCAGTATCAGTGTTGTCATGAAGACTAGGAGAAGTCATCTGTCACACACTCAGTCCCAAGAATTATTATGAGAAGTGAGAAATAACAGTATCATCATTACTGGTGGTGGTGGGAGCATAGCAGTAGAACACAGAATTAAAACAAAAGCCTTTTATCTTCTCTTTCCAGCAGGAGAAAAAGGTAATGCCATACATGCATCTGGTTTTTAACAGATTCTGCTTCCAAGAGTAGCTGTAGATTACCAGTGAGGCGTTATCATTTCTGTAGACCCGCCACTCCTCCGGCTGCCCCAGCCTTTGCTCTCTGAGTACAGAGAGGGGCATTCGCTTTCACCATAGAACCTGCACTGAGACCACTAAGCTGAAGCTCACACTTCATATGGGCACTGACACTCATGCTATGTTGATTTGCTTTTTATTTCTCTGTTGGGAACAGAATTCAGGCTGGAGATAGGGCAAAGGGCTTATGCTTGTCACTTTGAACCTTTGGCCATTTACTGATGATGCTCTGTCACTTAGAAGTCAAAGGCCAGTTTAAAATTAAGAGGCATTCTAATATGGGTCTTTTACTCAAACGCAAAGTTACTTTTTCCCATTAAGCCACTTACAGAGGCAGAACAGTCAACTCCGCCACCCTCCTTAGTGTCACCAGTCCTTTCTTGTTCTAGGTCTCATGGCTCCCTGAACTCTGTTTTTTTCCTTTATCCACAGGCTTTATCACGTTCTGATGTCTGATATCATTTCCATTGTCAGTTTATTGTCTCAAAACCAACCAACCAACAACAACAACAAAAAAATGGAGGTGTGTTTTGTGTGGTGGTCACTGAAGTTGCTCCAGTACTTACGACTGTTGTTTGCATATAGTAGGCATTCATGAATGATTGCTGAGGTCTAGGAATATATCTCTGTACTACAATGCTTGCATAGCATGTGTGCGGCCCTAAGTTTCATTCCTAGCAACTGAAATAGATAAAGAGACAAACGAACACACTTTTTTTGTTGAATGGATGAATGAAAATGCTTTCTGAACTATGGGACTTTATGAAGGGTTTATTGCTGCACATGGTTAAGAGGCCCGATGAGCATGGCTGACCAATGGAGAAAATGATGAAGGAAAGATCCCTAAGTTCTGTAAATCACTAGTGTTTTATTATTTTGCTGGCTCCTTTGGATCCTTGTGAAACGAACGTGGCCATTCTATCATGTGAGTCAGCTGGAGGGCACATGTGCTTCCAAGACATGTGATGTTCCCAAAACCACTGGGTTACAACACAAATTCTCTCTAAGCCTTGACACAAGATGGGTATGAGGCCAGGGGCAGGGTGATGCAGTCAGGGAGCAAGAGAGGCTTCTCCCCAGGGGTCCAGGGCAGGCTGATGACTCCCAGTGTTTCTTCTCCCTTCCCATGTACACACACTCTGCTAATGGCGATGAAGCCATTCCCTGAGATGGTGAGTGGACACCAAGACAAAACACCATCTGTGTAAACTAAAAAACCCACAATAAAAATAAAAAGAGCAAAAGAATTGGGAATTTTCAAGTAAGTGGACTATAAAATGATGTATGGGAGATGAGGAAATTCACTGTCCCTTTACACACAACACAAGAGCTCTGGTTACACGGTAAAAGGAATGTAGCAGGAGAAGACAAACTATAGCCAAGAGACAACACAGAAGGACAGAGGCCAACATCCATCTCAGGGGCCCTGTTCCGTGGTGATTTCCAAATGCTCAACTCTGGGGTTTATAATGCACACATGCATATATCTATATCTATATCTCTATCTAGACACATACTTATTTACAATATGCTGTATATAATGCTATATATATCACATGATCTATAAGATGCTATACCATGCAGTTATTTATAGAGCCATAAAACACAATTATGTCATATGATTTAAATATAAATGAACAATGTATCCTATGGAGTACATCCCTACTTAATCTTGATTTCCCCCTCCTTCCTGGGCAAGAACTGGCTTGTACTGTCCCTCAGAGCAGTGTCTGTCACCACACAGGCATCAGTAATAAATGCTTCAGTGAGTGAATGAATAATAACTAATTATCCGGCTCATCTTGTTCCCCGCCCCACTAGACCTTTGACCGACTCTCCACCTTCTGCTCCCAGACAGCACATACATGTAAGGAGATGAAGCGCCGGTGATGCCCTCTTATTACCAAACAGTGGGCCGCGCAGTTTCAAATCACTTATGTCTAAAGACTTGCCTCTTGGCAGCTGTTCGGTCCTTAAGCCAGACACTGACACCTATCTGAGACACAGGGGATCAAGGAAGAACACCACATTTTTTTTTTTTTGTTTTGGCTATGCTAAGCCCACTTCATTGTAGTCCTCGCTCAGCTGCCCTGGTTGAACCAAGGGTGTCACTGCCAGCGGTGACATGGCTTCAGCTGCTTAACCAGAGGCTCAGAAGGAAGCTGGTGAATGGACGTGGACCATGAGTGCCAACAACTTCTCGGCATTAATACGAACACTGTGCACACCAGCTCCATTGCCAAACCCTGAACACATGAGCTGGCTTCGTCCTACACCACGGGCAGAGGTCGAACGAGGACAGCACTATTGCCATAAGTTTCAGACTTAATCCAACAAAAGAAAACTTGGAAAGTTAGTGTATTGGATTAATCCTTAAAACTGAAATCTTTACGGAACTTATTCAAGAAGGAAAATAACATGTTTGATAATTAGTTGTACTACCATGCATCAGTATGATATTCCAAAATTACCCTTTATTACTTGTAAAATGTCCAGTCTGGGGAATATAGAGGGTATGGAACAAATATCAAAGAGAGTAGTCTACAAATACAGCAATTTACAAAGCATTCGAAGTTTTCTAAAAACACATTTTTTTAAAGCCAGACCCTTGCCAAGTAAATGACCAACCAAATTAGAGCTGAAACCAAATTAGAGCGATTATGTAACTCCCAATTTGCAGAAATCCGTGTTTAAAAAGGTACAGGATGAAAGAAACAATGAGTACATCTAGAAGGCAAATGCACACGAATCTGCCAGCACTCGCTGTATCTGTCTGGAAACACAGCTCCAATGGATGAACACCTGAGATGACCCATCCTTTCTCGGAGCGTCGTGGTTCAACCACCAGCTGTGGCAACTGTGACCATGTCACAGTGACTTACAGTGAAGGGGAAAAGCAGGCCTGCACCTCGGTGGATGTGGACTTCTGTGACTCTACCCTGTCAGTGTGAGGCAGGGCAGCACCCCCTCATCTGGGGGAAGAGGCATGCGCTCACACAGTGTCTTCGCAAAAGGCTACAGCCTCAGAGCCCCAGACATAAACTTAACATAAACCACGAAAGCCCTAGTTCCTTGTAAATCTCCCATCGCCCACATTACAACGCTGCCTTCCCCCGATTCCCCACTCGGGACCCCTTCCAAACCCTTCGCTCTGTTTGCTCCAGCTCCACCCTGAGCCATCTTTCTCCCACTGCAGCCAAATCTGGCCTCCATGTTTTGTCTGCTCGGCAGGAGAACAATTTGAACAATCTCCGTTTTATAAGATCAGTTTATTCCTCCCAATATAATAATTGGTTTCAGCTGAACCTGGACGCCGGGCCTCGGCCGGGTTCCACTGTGGAGCTAGCAAGAGAGCAGACACTTTCTGCTGCAGTATGTCTTTTTCTTTTTTCCAGAGCGAAGAAGAATCCAGGTACAGGCCTAGAATAGAACATTTACAAGGCATGCAGCCGTGTTTCAATAACCCAGATCTTGAAAAAGATTTAGATGGCGTTTTCCTCCGTTTCTCAGACTATAATGTCATGAAGAACATAAAACTAACAGCCATTGCCGTGACCTGCAAACGGAATCTGTGCTAACAAACCTTTGCGAGATCGTATACAATGTGGGTAAGTGAGAAAAGGCTTAGAGGTGAGAAGATGAGATGGAATAATGCTAGACACTCTCCGTTCCTAACGCTACAGAGAAGCCAAGCAGGGCATTGCAGCTTATAAAAAGAATAAGCAAGATGACTTACACAAAGGATAATCAAAACAGAAAAAAAAAAAGAAAACCCATCACGGTGTCCACCCAGAGTCCTCGGCTCCAGCGGTTTTCCCTCCTTAATGTAGAATGAGTATGGGAACTGCCTGTGGGTATTTTCACCACCACAACCTCGGGTTATTCCACTTGTCAATGCCAGCTATGCCTCCCAGAACAAGTCACCTTGACACACAGAAGCCTTAGGTCTTGAATTACAAATGCCTTTTAAGCCTTGCAGCCTTTTTGCCTATTCAACAGCTTCCTCAGAGTCAGAGTTATAGCATTCCTTATAGGTTCTCTTACCTTCACACGTGTGGCCATCTGCAGAGATGGAGAACCCTTGTTCACAGACACAGTGGAAAGACCCGTGCGTGTTTAGACACTCTCCGTGAGGACCGCAGAGCCCCGGCTGCGCACATTCATTAATGTCTGCCATTGAAGAGAATTACAGATATTTGAAACGAGACCTATGGGTTCCCTCTAACACCAGTCACACAGTAGGGAAAACTCATTTTTGAAAGAAGTAGACTTCTCTTTCGTGACCCAGCTGTAGCACCTGCCCACGTTAGAGACCACAAGAGAAGCTCAACTGTCAGAAGGGGCAGACGACTGAGGTGACCCACAAGACAATGACTGTTCAACCATGTCAGCCTATAAAAACAGCCGTCTTCAAGGTGCAGTCCATAGCTGGCCTGCTTAGACATAGCAGAGCCTTGAGGACTATTAATAAGCAATCTGAGACACAGTCATCAATGGGAACGCTGTTTCTTCTCTGTCCTCTCCACCCCGTCCCCCCATAGTCCTAGAGTACTGGAGTCCTGCCACACCTGCTTCTCCCTTCCTAGGATGTGGACTTCCTCAGGGAAAGACCAGGCATGCCTCGAATATAGTATTTAGCTCCTAAATGCTACTCCATAAATGCCTGATGGACCAATCTATATTTCATTGGAAATGAGTAATGGGAAAAAATAAGAGGAAAAGAAGGCCAGGGAGGTTATGATTCGCGTGACTCTGTGATGATGAACTGAGTGATGGTGAAGTGTTCAGTGTGAGGCTTAACCCACACCTAGAGATCCGGAAGTGGCTGCTGCTATGATTTGTAAACAGCTGATGCCACAGGCAAAGGGCGAGCATCTTATATTCTGTTTGTCCTTTGGCTTCCCAGGCCAGACAGACAGACACACTCCAAGTACCGTTAACATGTAGAGAAAGCAAAACGTTCTTTCAAACCATGCCTAATCATGTTGGCCGACACTGCCCTCAGTGACAATAGCACAGGGAAGCCAGGGGCAGCCTACCTGGTCACGGTGGTACTGATGCACGCAGTGGCTCACACACTGCATTGTCCTGGCTGGTTCCCTTATCTGTGTCCCTTATGACTGTTTGCTCCTTGAGGTCAGGATGTGTGAACTGCACGTTCCTTACCCTTTGCGCTGTACCAATAATGTCACAAGTGTCCACTGCAAAATTTCTTGCCATAGCTACTCTACTAACGGAACAGTGATTGGTAACTGATAGTTGAAAAAAGAATCATGTGTCCTTAGCACTATCCAAGCAGTCTCTTAGGTCACTCTAAGTTCCTTGGGGTCTCTCTTGTCTTTTACTAAACAGGTCCTCAGTATTTCTTCTTAGAAGCTCATCTTTATTTCAATTCAAGTGTTTTCTGATTGCACTCTACAAGCAGATGAATAGGACAGATCCCTGGCAAACACGAAGCTCACAGCAAAATAAGCAGAACCTATGTGTAGCTTAGCAAAGTCCAGACCCGAGTTCTTCCCAGTGGCTTTGAGAGCATGCTGAGCCACAACCACACTCTTTCTCTTGAAAAGCAACCGCTTTCTGTGCACACAGGTCTTCTGCAGGCTCTTCCGCTGGTCCTGCTAATCCCTGTGTAAAATAACTTCCAACAATCGCTGACTTAGTGCTTTTCTTTATTAGCCCTGTCTACATCTTTCCATAGCCACAGAAGCTGGATTTCTTGGCTAACCCACTGCTGAAGCAAAGAAAGGAAACAATAGACCATCCAAAGGGACGGTCAGCAGAACAGACACCCTAGCAGAATGGGAGAAAACCTTGTCAACTATATTTCACACAGGGACTTCATACGTGGAACATATAAAGAGCTACAAAAATTAAGCAAGAAATCTTCCAGTCAGTAAGCAGGCAACACACTGAATCAGTCAGTAAGCAGGCTAACACACTGAATCAGTCAGTAAGCAGGTTAACACACTGAATCGTCAGTTCTCAAAAGAGGAAACGCACACGGACAGCACGTGCTTGGGAAAGTATTGCACACCTTAGTCTACATGGGAAAGTGGAGATTAAACTGCCTTGGGTGCCATCTCTCTGTTGTCAGACAGGCTGTCATAAAAAAAATGACAATGAATACTGCCCGAGGACGTATTTGGAGAAAGAGCGCTGCTAGCAGAGGTTTAAACTGATGCAGCCACTGTGGAAGCAATCTGGAGACTTCTAAAATATTTAAAAATAGAAGTACCATGTGACCCAGCTATACCAATCCTGCGTACCCAAAGCACTCAAGTCACTACGCCATGGGGATACTCGCCCATTCCCACTTAGCACAACCCTGTCTACAGTGGATAGGAAACAGAACCAGCCTAGACATCCATAGGAGATGAATGGCTCAAAAGCTGTGGTATGTATAAATACGATAGAACTTTATTCAGCCATAAAGAAAAATGAAATCATGGCATTTGCAGGGAAATGGCTGGAACTGGAAATCATTATTTCAAAGAACTAAGCCAGACTCGGAAAGACAAAAACAGCATACTTGTTCTCATATGGGGGACTCCAGACCTTAATTTGTGTGTGTGTGTGTGTGTGTGTGTGTGTGCACATGAGTGTGTGGGGGTGTAAGTCATGAAACTAGAAAGGGGTCATGAGAGGGGAGGGTCTTAAGGAAGGAGCAGAAAGACAAGCATAACTGAAGGCTATGAGACAGGAAAGCAGAAGAGACACGACTGGGGGAGGGGAAGGGGCGGGGCATGAAAGAGGGAGCCAAGGAGAAACCCGCTACTTTGTATACCAGCTTTAAAAGTCAGCAGAGACCAGTCATATTTCCCCCTTATCATTTTCATGTCTCTTAAGGACCTGCAGCTTGTTTTCTGCTTGTCGGGTTCTCAGTGTGATTTCGCATTCTTGCTTTTCATAAGGCCTTTGCTTCTTCATCACCATTGCATCGGCAATCTGAATTCTAACCTTCTCCTGGACTTCAGTTCTGCTCTTGCCCTCCAACCTGGCACCTAGGATCACCTCCGTCTGGCCAAGGAGTTTGGCTGACCTGCGCGTCAATACCGTATGCAAGCTCATCTGTCAAGTTCTCAAGGCTCCCTGAGACTTCCTGTCTGCTTTTACTCTGTGGCTCGACGAAGCCCTTTAGAAGCCACCTTGTTTGGTAAACACCGTCCACAAAGATCCTGTTTTCAAAGAAGTTACTGGTTAATAGGGAACTGTCTAGAAAGTTTGACGACAGGAACTGCAGGCGGATTCCCAGACTTTCTTCCAGGAAACTGCTAAAAAGAATGGCACGAATATCTGAAGCTAGCGAGACATGTGCCTTCAATTTGGATTGTACTTACTGAAGCATTCATTTCTGAGCTATGCTGCTAGTAACTCTGAGCCGAAAGCCAGACTATATTTAAGTTGGATTTCTTTCACGGGTCCGGAATGCCATAGAAATTCACAGTTTGGCATGTGTAAGTCAAAACGTGAAACTGAAGTGTGCTCTGAATCTCTAGCGTACCCTGTCACATTCCTGAAGGGACTGTTAGCGTGGAATTTCCATACTGTCTGCACATCAGAGAAATCTTAAGCACACTTCTGCCTGAAAATGCCAACTTTCAGAAGGTAAGGTTGCCAAAGTTCAAGCCTGTCTCATAACTTCTCAACAATGGCCCCTGGTAGTAACATTGCCATCCATTACATTTTCAGCATCAGGACCAACTCAGAAACCCACCCCTCTTAACAGAGCATTGACAAAATCATGGGATTAGAGAAGAGTAGGCAGCGTAAATGATCACAGAGCTGCCTCCAGCGACAGCAGAAGATATCACTCAAAGGGAGGCCAGAAGGCACACTTGCGGAAACATCCTAACAGGACAAAATGAACAATGACACAGATTTTACATATTACTTAAACAGCACATGGGACCTGCTTCAGAAACACCAGTGAGAAGGCACTTGTTCCCACACCCGACGACCTGAGCTGGGTCTCTTGGACTTACATGGTGGAAGAAGAGAACTGACTCCTGCAAGCTGTCTTCTGACCTCCATATGTGGGCATGTACACACACACACACACACACACACACATGACACACACGACACACAGACACAAACATACACACAGACACACACAGACATACACAGAGACACAGACACACACAGATACATATACAGAGACAGACACACACGCAGACATACACAGAGACACACACACAGATACATATACGGAGAAAGACACACACAGATACAGACACACACACAGACACACAGACACACTCAGAGACACAAACATACACACACACACACACACACACACACACACACATAGAAACCAGAAAAAAATGCTTATCACATATGGAACTCAATTCTTTCAAGCTGACCCATGCACATTCACTCTGAGAAAGGATGCGACACAGAGCAGAGTGAATCTACTAATGACTGACAGTCATTAACCACCACATCTTCGGAGCAGTCACATCTTTGAAAGTTGGTCTCAAACCACAGACAGGGATTGTATGTACGGAGAGAACACGGTGCAATTAATGTGACTGAGTGAGTTCTGGGGGATTTGACTCTAGAAGGTAAATGATAAAATGTTCAGAATGAGCTCTTGGGCCATTTTTACTGAGACCTGGCTTTGCCTCTATTTAGCCAAAAGAAATGAGAAAAGAAAATATCAATTTTCCAGCCAAAAATCCTGTAATAAAGATCAGGATTCAAATTTCTTAGGTTTTTCAACTTTTTTCATCTCCTGGCATTTTATATAAATCAAGATTAATTTTGTTTAAAGTACTAAAATGGAAATATTTTGACAGAAACATACAATTCAAAAGTTCTTTCTCTACAGCATCAAATCTAAGCATATTTCATTTCTACACTGGAAAACTTAAAAGATCAATTTCACTTATTGCATTATGAAAGCAAAGAAATACCTAATATCAAATGAAGTACATGGAGTGCATTTAAGTCTTGGGACCAATGAGGGAATTAATTCTAAAAGACCTTAAGGCAAAGGTTCATGTCTTTCACAACTCAGTGACACATGGGGGAACACGGCTAGTGACATACAAATAAAGCATTATGTTACTCTAGTACCACATCTCAGAGAGAAGGCACTATTTTCATCAAGGATATGGGTTGTCTGGAACATACCAGAGGAGAGATCATCTGTGGCAATCAACAGAGTAATAATAACAATTAAAATATTCGTATATGTATCTTACTAGTATTTTGAATATTATGCATAATTCTGTAATAGCAGGGAAACAAAACATCCATGTATCAGAAATAAACACACATAAATACAAATGTACATTTTTGGTGGGAAAATAGGCATAAACCTGTTAGTCATTCATCCATTTTTTCATTCACCCATCCACGTATCCATCCATTCATCCATTCATTTCCCCTCCCTCAAGGTGTTGACCCCCAGGCCTCTCTCATACTAGGCAATTGCTCCACCACTGAGCAATGTCACCAGTGCCTTGGACTTAAGACTGCTAAGTGGTGGCAGTAAGATGCATCTGACAGGGTTGGACACAGGCCCTACCACAAACAAACAAACGTCAGTTATGTCTTCCTGTAGAAAAACCATTCAACCTCACTGCCTTCCCTGATTGTAGGCTCAGACCTTAGCTCCCCACTAGAGAGGGCTGAGCATGCACAGCTGCTGCTCTGGGCCTCAGCATCCACACACTCGCACGGAAGATAAGGAAAGCTACCTTTCACATTGCTGTAAGAACTGAAAGAGGCACCAACTGTGAGTGCTTGATTTAAGTCACTGTGATGGTACATGTTCATACTTGTGTTGTGTTCCTGTGTCCTTATTAGCATCCTGCATCAACAGTGTTGTTGGGGAGGATAGATGCTGATAAGCACTTTGGAAAATATGAATTCCTGTTCTTTATTTTAACCAAATTATTAATGAGAGAGAGAAATGGTAGGTACTGGACAAAAATAGGCAACATAAAAAGGACAAACACTATGTCTGAGGTAAAAATATGCATGATTATCAGGAAGCACCAAAGAACTGAACCACCACACATGCAATAAAGGGGGAAGGGTCGTACCTTGACATCCTTTATTGTCATCTAGCTGGAATCCATCTGGGCATGTACAGTCATAGGACCCCGCAGTATTGATACAGTCTCCTCCCTGGCAGACGCTACTGTCCTCTAGGCATTCGTTGATATCTGCAAGCCAGTGTGCAAGTTAGAAGTAAGCAAGCAATATACGGAAGATTATACATGCTATGTGTCACACACACACACACACAAATCACATAAACATGCATTGTGTTTTCAGAATGTTATTTCAAATGGATGCCAGGGTTTTCTTTAATGGAATATTTTGAAACAATGTTTTAGCTTAATTGTTGTCTTGTTATTTGAATCAGAGTCTAGTTTGTTATGCAGTCCATTCTGAAAGTGTTGGTCTCCCTGCCTCAGTCCCCTGAGTGCAAAGGCCATCCAGAAAGATTTCATCTTTGAATAAACACAGAAATTATATGTCGAGACAGTGTCTAACTATGTAGCTTGGGTTGGCCTGGAACTCACAATTTTCCTGGTTCAGACTCCTGAGTGATACATGGAAGTTTTAAACATCAAATGCAACAAATAGGAAGAAGAAGCATTACAGTATTTTTTTTTATTAAACAACAATTGACTTGATTGTGTTCTTTGTGATAACAGAGAATACATTTTTCAAAGCACATGTTGCTAAGTGTATCTTAAGCACACTTAAGCTCCTTGATCTATGTTTGAAAGTGCTTGGCAAGCGTCCCCACACCAAAAAGAATTGTTATTAAACCCAGAACTCCAAATGCCATTGTGTTCATAAAACTAAACACGTAAGTCATTGAACTGCACTATAGGTCCCCCAAATTAACATAAGAATTATTGCAAAATGCAATTATCTAACAAAAGAATGTTGCTAAATTTAGAGGCAATCTGAATTTAGAGAAAAGATACAAGGAACAAGGAAGTTCTTCCTAACAGAAAGACTTTACTTAACGTCTTGGCAATAGCGTTGTGAATGGGGGAAACTTTGCTCGTGGAATCAGCTGGAGCAGAATCCTTGTTAAGTTTTAGCGCCTCTCCTAAACAGACTGCCTAGATTTTTAGCAATTATATATAAAGCATATGTCCAACTCCAGGTGTTCCACAACCAGCCAACCCTGAGTTCTGGCCGTGATAATGCAGAGGTTCACATCAGGCAGATGTTTCTGGGGCTGTGTATTGCTATAGCGACTCCTAGTCAGAGACCATTACTCACGCCTAACACACTCCATAAGCCCTTCCTTTGCTGTGTCTGTTTGAGGTTTATAATTAGTGTCCAAGAAAAATGGAAGAATGATGCTTCCATTGTCTCCTCCAAATTTGGCACTCACGACGTTTCTTGCAAGTAATTCTGGGGCTACTGATGCAAAGGAGGATTTCAAGGAGGAAGTGAATACAGAAAGTGATGCTGTCTCCCCCACACTCGCCTTTCTGGTTCCTCGTTGAAACAAATTAACTAATGAAAGGGCTGCTATACAAAAGAGGGACAAGGGAGGCTTATCATGTCATCCTGTCAAGACCAAGTTATCATGAGTAAGTGTTCACCCACACTGGCAATGTTCCAAGCATGCCTACTGTAAAACATAAAACGCATGTGACATGCCATGTCAATGTAAACTGCATCATCTATCTTCTTTGAAGTATAACTCACAACAAATAACAGCTGTTTTGAGAGTCCAGTCAGTTTACCAACACATTGGCATACACACCCTACAGCCACCACCATGGCTCAAGTCCCCCACTTCCACCCACCCCAACCCACAAGATACTTCGTGTCTTTGGCATCATCAGTTCACAGTCTTTCTGAGAATCATCCACAGTGCTGATTGTATCAAAAGCTCACTCTTTTTCTTTGTCAGGTAGTATTTCATTATGTGAACATAATCTTTTTGCCCCTTCATCTTTTAATGGGTACTTAGACTAATGCCATTTTGACTACTTCAAGCAAATGCACATGGGTATGTGAACATGTGCTTTTGTATTCATTGGGTAAATTACTGGGATTTACAATAGCTGAATCTTAGAGTAGATTTATGTTTAATGTTTTTAGAAATTGTTTCCTAAAATGGCTGCATCATTTCACACTCTAGTTTCTTCCTGGCAGTAGAAGAGACATTAAATTTTTCCATATGTATTTGGCTAACTCCACAGCTTTTCTAGTGGGTAAATATTGGACAAAACAATTTTAAATCAACCTTCCTTTCTTTGCTCCTTAGGAAAAGACGGCAACAAAGTTAGATGAAATGTATTTGACCGTTAGCATTAAATTAAAGAAAAAAAAAAACCTCAACTTGAGTCAAATCCAGAGAATGTAAAGTTCAACCAGAAGAAATAACCTGTGACCCAGCAATCTGTGTCAGCACAAAGAAGTGTGTGAACAGGAATATTTAATTATCTTATTGTCATTCATATCTCAGAATCTAAGAGAAAAATAGCATTGTTTTAAGTGTTTGTAAAGTAACATATAGACTTAAAATGCTTAGTTATGATATAGTCAAGTTTAATACATATTTTTATTCATGTTTGCAATATTTGCAACAATATTGAAAGAACAAACCAGAGTGAGAACTATGCATGGTGGTGCATGCTTGATAGCCTACTTTGGGAGCTAAGGCAGGAGGATGGCAAGTTTGAGGGCAGCTTGTGCTGCATAGCGAGCTTGATGCCAGCTTGGGCCAACAGTGAGATCCACCTCCCTCCAAGACAACGAAAAGGTAGCATGAACATCAAGAGTACTCAACATGGGATTGTCTCCCATGGGGTGGGGTGGACAGAGGGTCTTCCTGGGAATGAAGGAGCACGTTTTCCAGAGAGTGACAGTGGAGTCTGGTCACTTGCCCACCACCTCTGCCTTGGTAAGTAACACGGGCCGTTTTTGGCCTTCTTTGACCAGCAGTCATGTTAGCACAGTCTATAATTCTCTCCTCTCCTCTCTTTTCTTGGGGTCCAGCTTCCCTCCTGCCTATGTCACTTCCTCAGCTGCCTCTGCATGTTCCTTCCCCTGTTCTACATGGTGAAAGGCCCAGGAGCTCTTCTCTTTTCCAACAATACTTCCTCCGGAGTGACTGCACTCGATCTCATGGCCTTAAACACTACGTGTATGCTGATAGCTCACAGCCCAGGGCTCGCCCCTCAGTTCTAGATACCAGCATCCAATTCATTTGCTATTCAAACTTGAACAGTCACTCTGGGATGGCAAACTGAACATGTCATGTGGAACTCCCAATCTCCACAGAGTCTGCCCCTTTTGGGGCTTCAACACCTGCTATTACTTTGAACGCAATGTTCTTCTCATAAATATTCACAAGTCGGTGACCGAAGGAAACCACTACTTCCTTTATTTAAAACCATCCATCTTCAGAACTCCACATGTATCCTGCTTTGCGAGTTATTGCCATTTAACAAGCTATGCCTATTGCTTATTTCTCACACCTATTGCTAACTTCCCCACTAGAACGAAGGTAATTCCACAGGGGCAGGATTTCCAGTTTTTATATATGTTCTATACCTCAATACAGGCTCCTACAAATTCAGCACTAAAAAGTGAACATCATGAAAAAATGCATAAATGCACTACTCTGACCTGAAAAGAAAAAAACTATGACTTTTCACTGTTTTTTGTTTTGTTTTGTTTTATTGCTTGCTTTTTGTGTGTGTGGTTGGTTTTGTTGTTGTTGACATATAAACCACAAAGACACAAGTACCATCCTGTGAGACTCTGCAAGGAACCTACAGAGAGCAACACCAGGGTAACTGGGGAATAGGATCAGGTAGGTGTGGGGTTAAGTTAGAGCGTAGCAGGTCTGAGGCAGAGCCTTTTGTGGGCCAAAGGACCTGAGATCTCTAAGAACTGGGACAAGGAGGTCACCAGCATAAGGCTGAGCCTGCTGCATACAGCTGTGAGCCAACATTTAATTTCTGACTCTCAGAGGTCAGCGGGGCTGTGGGAAAATAGTGCATGAAGAGCAGGTCTCCACTGAAATTGAGAAAAAATTACACATGTAAATATAAACTTAAGGTCTATCAAGAAGGATGGCTCTTCCTCCCACAGCTGTGTGAGGTATGTGAGCATTCACAGACAGTTAATTATGGCAAAATACATTCCACTGGTGAGGGACAGAAACAGGACTAGGTGGGAATTAGCAGGCTGAAGTGCTAATGTAGTTTCAAAGGGTGCTCTGAGTTAGCTGGATGGATTCCAGTCCTATTTATAACCCAAACACTGGGGAAATTAATCCTGACTTTAAGAGAAATGAGCTTCACTACACATCCAAAGGAAACTTTCCGGTGGAATATAATTATATCTTATAAGCATATATATTAATAAAGAATAGTTGGCTAAAGGATTTTGTTTGGCTTGCCACACAATGAATGTTTTTAGGATAAAAACATTTTAGGGCCTTCTGATGACATACCTACATTTTTTAAAAAAAATCCAGAATAAAAGGATATATTCTCTGCCCAGTGGTGGTGGCACACACCTTTAATCCCAGTACTCGAGGTAGATCTCTGTGAGTTCAGGGCCATCCTGGTCTACAGAGTGAGCTCCAGACAGTCAGGGATACACAGAGAAACCCTGTCTCTAAAATCCAAGCACATAAATAAACAAACAAACAAATAAGCAGCTCTCTGGTGAATACCATCAAAATTTCAGGCATGGTTGGGACTGGAGAGATGGCTCAGTGGTTAAGAACACTGGCTGCTCTTCCAGAGGACCTGGGTTTGATTCCCATCACCTACTCACAACAATCTGTACTCAAGTTCCAGGAGAGCTGACACCCTTTTCTGGCTTCCCTAAGCACTGTACACACATGGTGCCCAGACATACATGCAGACAAAACAACTACACATACAAAAAGGTTTAAAAATTCCGGCATGGCCTGATGACCCTCTTGGCTTGGCCAAGCAGCAGATCAGAAGGGTCAATGATGGTCAGTTTAGGCTTCCCACGTGATTGTAAGGGTCTTGCTACTGACTGACTTCCTAAGAACACCTTCCAAAGCAGGCCCTTCACAACACAGAGTGCCCTCTAAGTCAACTGTTTCTTCCTTTGATGCCATCATGTGGAATCATTAGCCCATATATTGAAGTTCCCCCAAAACATGTTTTTTCAGTTATCATGTGTTTCACAACTTGCTTGATTACTTATCTATTTTTCAGTAGAAATACTGATGATGACATTTTGTCCAGGTTATTAAACCTTGAGAAATATTATATTTTTGGTTGTGAGCCTAGCCTTTAACGGCTGAGCTATCCCTCCAGCCCAGGAAATATTATTACTATAAGGTAAAATCCAACTTACAACATGCATTTTAAAGGCTTTGAAATTAGCCCCAAATTGCCCTTTAAAAGGACTGTGTCATTTGATGCCCCTAAAAGCAGCAGATAGGTATCCAGCCACTTGTGCCAAATATTTGTGCCAAACTGTCTTATAAAATGCAGCATGCTATAATCCACAAGGCTCTTGCCCAGCCAACTGAGCTAGGAATGTTGAACCATTAAATGTGCTGCCAGACCATTCTTGAAAACGATTTCGGTGGTTCAGATGAGAGTGGCCCCATAGGCTCATAGATTTGAATGCTTGGTCGTCAGGGAGTGCCACTGCTTGAGAGGTGTTATGAGGTGTGGCCTTGTTGGAGTAGGTGTGGCCTTTTTTTGGAGGAAGTGTGTCACTTCTTTGAGGTTTCAAAGAAGACCCAAGCAAGTCCCAGAGTCTCCCTCTCCCTGCTGCCCAGGGAACCAGATATAGAGCTCTCAGCTACCTCTCCAGCACCGTGTCTGGCTGCATGCCACCCTACTCTCCACAATAATGACAGTGGACTACACCTCTGAAACTGTAGTCAAGTCTCAGTTAGATGCTTTCCTTTTTAAGAGTTGCTGTGGCCATGGTGTCTCCTCACAGCACTAGAACCCCAACTAAGACAATGGCAGAACTAGGGGGCTGTGGTGGTTTGTCTGTGCATTCTCCCATACAGGCTCATGAGTTTGGACACTTGGTCTCTAGCAGGCAGTGGTGTTTTGGAGGTTGTGGGACTTTGGGGAACCTCTAGAGAACTGGAGGAAGTAGCCACTAGGGAATGAGTCCACATGTACTTCCCATTCTGCCTCTGCCAATGGATCCCCGAGAATATAAGCATCCAGCCTTCCGCTCCTGCCGTTTCAGCCTCAAACTGCTCTGGCTGCCGTGCCTTCCCTAGCATGGCAGACGGGACGTCCAAACTACGAACCAAAATAAATCCACACACCCTCAGATTCCCTCTTGCCTGGTATTCTGATGGCAGCAACGAGAAAACTAACATCACCCCTCACTCTGACACATTGATGCTGCATGTGAGACGCAGCCCGGATGTTCGTAGGTCTGACTTCACAACTGACAGATTACACACACACCAAAGAGGCAGGTAAGCTGGAAACAGTGTTCTTGGATGGGCCCCGGAAACACAGAATGTTCAGGAGTGATGAGCTGGTAGTGACAGAGAGATAAAGATCATGCCAGGAGAAAATAGTCTCATGTATGAGCTGGCCAGGAGCCAGGAACTCCTCATGCAGGTTCTAAGCCACAGTCAAATGCCCAGAGCTAGATGTGTGTGGTAGGTACCTTGGAGAAGTGTTTCATACAGAAAAACTAAGCTCTTTAAAGCCCTCAGCTGGTATGGAAAATCAAGCTGGGTTTGCTTTTTTTTTGGGGCCATTTGGAAGACAGTTTTGTACAAATGAGGTAGTACAGTTCAGAGCCACACACCGAGATTAAGCCACCCATCACTGGCACTAAGAAAATTTGCAGTCTCCTTTCTTTGTCCGTTCATATGACAGTGGAATAGAATTCTTTGTTGGGAGCCAGCCCTCAGTTATGAAGGCAAAGGCTGAGCTCCTACGCAGCAGGTGGAAAGACCCCAGATTGCTTCAGACAGTAGCATGCTCTGGTCCTGAGGCGGAAGGTGATGCTCACCTTCACAGTGGTCTCCAAGCGCAGATGCTCTGTAACCCTGGTGACACACACATTGGAAGGAGCCCTCTGTGTTTCTGCATTGCCCGTGAGAGCAGAGGTGATGGTGTTGGCATTCGTCAATATCTGTGAGCACAACAGTACAGAGAGACTAGAACCCATCATTTGTATCATAGGATACAGAGCAATTTCTGGTTTATAACTGAGCAAGACCATTCATTAAGTGGAGGGCATTAAGCTGGGAAAAAAGTGCAACTCTACAATAGGGAAAATTCTAATAAACTTAAAATGTAAACCACCTGTGCATTTATGTTTCACTATTCAATCATAGGTAGCAAATAGTTTGCTGTAATTTGTGAACCTCATTTTGATACATTCAATTTTAACACTCGCTTTGAAAGTATGCAGGCTTATAATAGCTTAAAGAAAAGGTCAGCTTACTACTAATTAGTATAAATAAAGTTTTGTTTAAAACCTCTCTGTATATTCACTCATTATCTGGTCCATTATAGGAAAAGCTTGTCACCATTTTGTTTTTAAGTAGTGCAGCATACCTATTATTATTTTCTTGTCATTTCTAATTTATCTCCTGGGCTCTGAGCAACTGGACTTCATTCCTTCATTCACCTATCCATCTATCTATCCATTGTCATTTATTCTCTCTCTCTCTAAAAACAGTGAGATTCTGGCCAAACCTTCCCCTCACCGCCATGTCACTCCATACCCCACATTGCCACCCCCTCACCCCTGCTGGAGACATACATCCTCAACTTGAGCATCATTTGTTTCAGTCACATGACCCTGAGCTCAGGCACTTACCTGTCATTTATTGCAGCCACACATAGTAGCACAAAATACTTCACCATCATGGTTACACTGTAATAACAGACTTCCTGGTGTTGGAAGTTACATTTACCACATTCTCAGATAGGCACTCAGTTCACATTACTTGTTGAAGGATTTTTTTAACATTAGAAAGCATTTCTCTTTTTCTGCCAGTGTTTCTATAAGGTATAACACATGTATCAGTTCCCACAAGGAATTCCGCCCATTTTTCTCCCACGCTGTGGTAGTCATAGACTCTCACAGTATTTGACAACTAAAGTGGGTTCTTCCCTGTTGATCATCTGGTAGATGGGTGATTCTGGCTATACCCATCATTGAATGGAATCTGAGAGGCTTTGCCAAAGGACTCTGAATATGATGGCCTGATTATATCATGTGCAGATCATTTGTAGGCAAATGGGGTCAGTGATTACAAAAGTAACTATACTAAGAGGGGTTCTAGAACAAGTTGCTTAACTTATCTGGGTACATGAATGTGCCTGTGTGTATTCTGTCACTGGGGATGCCCGGGGAAGGAGATAACAGTAACGGCAGATGGTTCTGTAATCCCCATCAGGTGGATACTCTTGCTTTAATGATGCTGTCAATGAATGTTTTTTGCTCATGAAATAGTCATCATCTCTGACAAGAAGGGGCAAGTCATCTCTGTGTACCAAAATTAACAAACATAAATTTGAAGCTAACTACACACTGAAATTATTAAGCACAATACCAGGTCAATATTGTCACTTTCTAATTATGGACTCACAGTACATAAAACCTCAACATTAATTTAAATGCTTAAATAGAATCACAGTACATAAAACCTCAACATTAATTTAAATGCTTAACTCTTTATGTAGTAAAGAGTTACAGAGACAGCAACAATTTTTCTTCTCAGTATGATGCTTAGCCACCAGCCATCAATGCCATATTTTTCTACTTTCATTCACTCCATTTTATTCTATTGCCTTGTCTGACTTATGTAAAAGCACCTGGGTTTCTGACACTATAATGATGTAAGCCGTGTCGTTTTCCCCAGTCTTACATAGTTCATGGTGGCACACCTACCTTCGCATTGGTCTTTAGCAGCCGACAGCTGGTATCCTTGTCCACAGGTGCACCAGAAGGAGCCGTCCGTGTTTCTGCACTGCCCGTTCATGCATAAGTTCCCTTGCTGACATTCATCAATATCTGTTAACACATATGATGGCAACTGGTGTTTAGGAAAAGACTCCCCCACAGAAGAACATGGAGATCCCTACAAGGTGTTCTGGGGTTATCATCACAAATGACAGCACTCTGATGAGCCTTACCAACCTAGCATGCTGAACTATACATATGAGTTAAATCATTACAAAAGCAACTTACTCTACCTCATCCAAACAGTTTGAAAATAGCACAAAGACAACTAACAACTTAGAGTTGAAGATGGAAGGGAGAATATAAAACACTGAGTAGCAGTTACTAGACTCTGTGGGTCCACTTCACTGTATGAAAGACAAATAAAACTACGAGGAATACACAAATACAAATCTTGGCAGTTACAGAAGGCAACAGAAGCATGTGTGTTTTTTATAGCCTGAATTATAAGGTCACAGAGCTGTGCTAATTAAGACTGACCAGTCTTTCAAGGTGACACAGACATAGAGAAAAATGGCAGTAATGGGACATACGATGACAATGAAAGACTCAGAGAGAATGTGGTATTCGAGGACGTAATAAAAGTGCTTTCAGTGAGCCAGGAATATACATGTAATCCCAGCCCTGGCAGAAGCTGAGACAGGGAGGCCATGAGCTCCATCTATGTAGCTACACAGTGAAACCCTGTGTCAAAAAATTCCAAAAAGTCTCACAAGCTTCCTCTCTCTCTTTTTCTGTATACATGTATGTGTATGCACATGCACATAGGAATGTGTGTTTAGGGCACACATGTAGGGATGGGAGGATGGGGGCGATCTAAAGGGAGGGGGAAGGAATGAGGGAAGGTAATAGGCTCTGTGTCACGAAGCAGTGGAGAACAACACTCTGGAAAAGTAAAGGGAGCAGAAGGTGAGAGGGGAATGTGGTAACAATGCATGAAAACACAGTCAAATCCATTTTAAATACTAGCCAAACATCAGTTGAAAAAGAAACGACCCCAGAATAAAAAAATTAAAAGCTTTGACAAAAGATAGGGCAACTGGCTGAGAAGGGTTGTAACATCATAAAGGACCACTCCCAAGCATTAGTGTCCTTGGAAATGTCGTGTATATGAAGGAAAGCAGGGCTTCGTCTGTGACATGGGCATTCCTAGTAGAAACAGGGTTGGCTTTCCACATGGCTCTGCTGGTCTGCCGTGATGATGTCCATTGCCTGTTAACTTGATATGCTCTAGAATCACATCAGTGACAAATCTCTCAGCAGGTGTATGAGGACTTTCAAAACCAGGTTAACTGAGGTAGAAAGAGCCACACTCTAACCTCCAAATGCATAAAAATGAGAAAGCGAGCTGTGCACGAGCATTCACCCATGCCATCCCGCTTCCTGACTGTGCATACAGTATGATAGTTCGGGTTCCATAATTTCTTATTTTATTTTGCACTTACTTTCATGGATTAAAATCTTTGTATCTACTTCACTGGTTCTGTCAATGGCTCCTTTTATTTGTTAAGAATTTGTGTGTGCACAGAGACATTGAATCATGAAGCTAAACTTCATCTCAGAATTATTTTGTGCCTTTCCATAATCCTTGGCCTCTTAGCATCAGGAGTGGTTGTAGATGCCTCTCTACTTTGTATGAAAACACTTGAGGCATTGGTTGCACACACTGAGGCCAACAACAGCTCTTGCTGGATCTCACATCGCATCTGAAAGAATTTTTACTATTGTGGTATCTTTCTGACTTTCTCACAGATGATGGCAAATTAGGTATTCCCACAGGAAGACATCTGCCAAAAGGATAGGCACTCCATTCCAAGTACCATCAAGGTAAGCCAGACATCACTTAGACTACTTGTTTATGTTGGGAAGATTGCTTAAAGCCATTTATTAGAAGTCGTGACACAGACACCTGAAAATTGCATGGCATGTCATTATCTTACACAAAGTGCTCTCTGTGTCTTTAAAATGACCAAAGGGAAAAGAAGTGCCATAGTATTAGAGATGAGTTTTTCTTTTTTCCAATGAAGGACAGAATTATTGAAATAAAGAGTAAGTTTCTGTTAACATAGGCATTTATGGAACATCTTACTGTTAGCACATCTTGCTTTGACTGCCCTGTCCAGAGAAAAGAATAGAGATTGTCTATGGCTGTCTATAAAGTTAGGACATACAAATATATATATGACTTCTCCCTTCTGCACATAAGGAAAGTGGCCCACGGTTAACTAACACAGCCCATTTAAAACAGCAGCTTACGAGGGGTAAAGCCAAGACCTGGCAGAGCTTTTCTTTTTAAAGGATTTCTGAGAGATGGAACCCAGGACTTTCTACATGCTAAACATGCACATGGTCAGTGGTCTATGGCTTCATTCATCCCCTTAAAAAAATGAAACATTGCATTTCATACGTTTTCTCCTAGTCCTCTTCCTCTCTTGGAGTCAACCCAGGGATCTACTTTGTGTTGAGTTGTCTTGGTGCCCAGTCAGTTGTACATCTGAGGAGCAGAGCCCAGGACCCTGTACCATGCCTTCTTTGTGACATCGTTTTTCTGTGCTATCTTTATCATGATCAGACTGGGCAGACATAGATTTCTGAGAGAGAGCAATGTAGACATGAAGTGTTCTGGTCATTAAATGCATCAGTTTTCTGGGTCATTCTCATGACAACAGTGATAACCCTAGCCTTAATTATTTTGTCAAGGTAGCTACTTTTAGTGGAATTAAATGGGGTGCTAGGGAGGACTATCAGAGAGCAGAAGGCTCAGTTGTTTGGGCAATGGTCAAAAGGAAGACAGCTGTACCAGCCATGGACTCAATGTGTGTCTAGTACATTGCATGGCATGAAGTCTGGAAGTCAGAGGTTATTAATGTATGGTCTCACAGTCATCTCCAAGAGCAGCCACTATGAAAGAAGCAGTGAGGAAGAATGTGGGTATGAGATGTAAACTACTCATGAGCAGCATTTGGGTCTAAGTAAGCCAGAACACTTAGCACGATGGTAGCATGGATGGGTCAGAGAATACAAGCCGAAGATGCAATAGGGACAATTGCATTTGGAATATGAGACAGAGACAGAGCTTTTCTCAACAGCAGATTAAAAAGTCAGGGAAATAAAGCGTCAGGATATGATTATAGAGTAAACATGTCGATTGAATATTGACAGTGACATCTAAGGTTCAAGATCTTTGGTCACCATTACCCTGGTATGTGCAGTGGGGTGCGGTTGAGGCAGGACAGGAGAGAAATTCTATCAAGTTCCTGTGTAGAACTTGGGTCTGAGAAAATGCACTTCTTAAGGAGTCAACAGGACAGGTGTAAGTATGGGTGAGCAGAGAGGGAGCCAGGAGAAATGGAGACATGTCTACTTATGTCATTCATAGGCATTGATTGGTATTCCACTGTGGGAAAGGAGCAGGGGACCCAATCCAATGCTTTTAGAGTCCCTGCTGCAAGCAGAGAATGGCTCATCCCCTCTGGAATACGGGAACATTCCTTTATTTCTTGCCTACTGTGAGGAGAACTTAATATCCCAGCTCCTTCACTTAAAGTTCAACACTAACTTATGAAAAAAAGAAGAGCTTGTGTTATTCCCTCATTTTTGCCTTGGAGAGAACATGCTTTAGGATATAAGAGTAGTGGAAGAAAGCAGAACAACTTATAGTGTGGTTGTAAGGAAAAGATATTTGAGAGCTGAGGAAATGACTCAGTGGAAGAGTACTTACCTTGCTAGCATGAGGACCTGTGTCCAGATCTTCCAAAAACACATAAAAAGCAGGAATGGCAACATGCGCTTTGTAACTCCAGCATGGGAAATGGAGATAGACCAATTCCAAGAGCTTACTAGCCTCTCAGCTTAGCCTAACAAGTTTTTAACTCAGTGAAAGACTTCTTGATGTCCTGCTATGGCCTTCACATGAATGTTCGTGGGTGCATACACACACACACACACACACACACACACACACACACACACACACACACAATTTGTTTAAAAGGAATTACTGAGAGCAAAATTAGGGACAATACAGGCCAATTATAATATACTATAAAAAGCCGGGCAGTGGTGGCGCACACCTTTAATCCTAGCACTCGGGAGGCAGAGGCAGGCAGATCTCTGTGAGTTCAAGGCCAGGCTGGACCGACAGAACAATACAGAGAAACCCTGTCTTGTAAAACCAAAAAAAAATGCTATAAAAATGCACATCATATATACATGCATGTGAGTGTGTGTTAAGAGATCATATGTATGTATTTGAAAATAAAAAGCTCGATAAATATCAAAAGCTATTAACAGATATATAAATAACAAATATAAATTGCTAATAAAAATAAGATATATTAATAACTGCAAGTGTTTAAGAAAATGAAGATAAAAGTGAAACTTCTTAAAATTAAAAGAAATACACATTTAAGAACTAGAAATGTATATTTTCCTATTTATACTAAAATACCAAATATTTCCACACTTAAAGATAAATAATTTTAAAGTGAGATCTGCCAGTAATAAGGAAGTTGGGAAAACTCTGACAATACATTATGAATATTATGTGACCTTTAAAAATGATGTTTGAAGAGTTAGTAAGAGTATGTAAAATGTGTGTAACATAGAACTGACAAACGACAGATGGAAACAGTGCATATCACATACAGTGTTCAAGACATGACGTTTATAAATCCAGCTGGACTGGTCCATAATAAGTAGCCAAATATGTGTCAAGTAGATCAATAGAAAAAAAAAACAAAGCAGCACGGTCAACTTCTAAGGTCAGTCACTCAATTCTGCTCATGAAGGAGGTGGTGTGAGCACAGCATTACCTTGACAGTGTCTATGGTCTGGAGTGGGGCTGTAGCCCTTGTGACAGGAACACATGTAGGAGCCTTCAAGGTTGGTGCAGGAACCGTTCGTGCAGACCTTTGGCTGCAGGCACTCGTCCACGTCTTGCAAGTTGTTGAGTAATGGAAAGAAACAAGAAGAGAGGAAAAGAAAGCATGAATCAAATCGAGCCTGATTAAAGATGGGAAGAGCAGACCTTCACAACACCAGGCAGATTCTAGGACTTCCAATGTGGTCCTGAAGAGAAGCAGCAGCTGTGCTTCGTAGTGGAGCATGGTTTCATGCCTCAGTCACTTTCTAAGGGCAATGAAGGCCAGACACAATGAGCTGCATAAACAAATCAAAAACTAGGCTTGTTTAACCCACAGAAACAGCTGACCTGAACAAGAGGGAGCTCTTGGACCCCAAACTGATGACTGGGAATCGAGCATGGGACTGATTCAGACCCCTTGAATGTGGGTGTCAGTGAGGAGGCCTAGGCAATCTATGGGGGCCTTGGGTAGTAGATCACTATTTATCCCTGGCATACAAATGGACTTTGGGTGCCCATTCCACAATGAGAGAAGCTCTCTCAGCCTGGACTCTTGGGGGAGGGCCTAGGTCCTGCCCTGGATGAAAAGACAGACTTTGGAGATCCCCCATGGAGGTCCTCACCCTCCCTGGAGAAAGGAGTGGGGATTGGGGGAGGAAAGAGAGGAGTTGGTGGGAGGGCATGGGAGGAGGGGAGGGAGAGGGAGAGGAATCTGGGATTGACATGTGAAGCAACCTTGTTTCTAATTTAAATTTAAAAATAAAATAAAAAGAAGAAGTAACAAAAAATGCAGGGAGGGTCTGTTGGAAGGAAGAGTGGGGTTGGAAATGGTAATTTTAGAGCAATACGTCCTGCAGCATAAAATCTCTAGAGATAGGGGTAGGGACCATTCTGGGAGTCGATGGGTCCGGGAAGATGGGAGAGACTTCAGAAACCAAATCTGTCACTGGAACAACCCTGGGATTATAACTGAAGGAGGAAGTCATTCACACCTCTGCAGGGTGATGGATTGGTGCGGTAAAACCAATCCAGGGCTTCCTCTTGAGAGGCTGATTGAGCAGCTAGAAGGAAGCCTGCAGATTAGACGACAGATGCTACAGTCACAGTAGCAGCTACTAAAGAAACGTCACGTGGGCACAGAGTGCTCTCTCTAATTGTAGCAAAATTAACATGGGACAAGCTTTTCAGAAAGGAACGGAGACTTAAAGACATTCAGTATCCTGCCCAAAGTCACAGGGTTAGAAAACGGTGATGATTCTGGAGCTGGAGAGATGGTTTAACAGTCAAGAACACTGACTTACTTACAGAGGACCCGGGTTCAATTCAGAGCACCCACATGGCAGCTCACAGCTGTCTGTAAGTTCAGTTCCAGGGGATCTGATGCCTCATTCTAGTCTCAGAGGGCACCAGACCCACACAAGGTACACCTACATACACGCAAGCAAAATACCCATACACAGAAAATAAAACAAAATTTTAAAAAGAAAGAAATAAAATGGTGGTTCTGAGATTGGAATCCAAAGCCCATTTTTTAAAAACCCTGTAATACATTTCTGTCATAGGCAAAGTTCAGTCCAGTGATAAACACAGAGAGTGGATGAGTTTGGTGCTTTTCATTATTTGCTAACCATACTGATAATGAAAATAATTGTTTAAACTCTCACTGGTTTCATTTAACAATCACTCATTGAATTCTTACTCGATGGTTACTACTAAGAAGGAAGAGGATGGGACAGAAGGCACAGTTGGAAAAGTGTCATATAAGCACAAGGACCAGAGTTTGGAATGTCAGAACCCACCCAAATGTCAGTGGGCATGGTGGCCTCCTGTCAGCCCAGCACTCAGAAGACAAAGACAGGGACTTCCTGGAAAAAGTTGGCTAAGCAGGGTACCAAAAATTGCCAGCCCTGGGTTAAGTGAAAGACCCTGCCTCAATATATAAAATCAGCCTTGACTGCTGAAGACTCCTAAGATCAACCTTGGGCTTCCACATACATGTGCACACACACACACACACACATACACACACACACACACACGGACACACACGGACACACACGCACACACACGGACACACACGCACACACACGGACACACACGCACACACACACACACACATGCTCACACGTACATGTGAGCTTGCATACACACAAAAAACCAGTTTTAAATTCTGTGTCCCACCTGAATGCTCTTAGGTAAGTCACTCACGGTTGCCATGGGAACCTACTCAAGTGTAGCATCAACAATCAGAAAGGAAAACCCTCAGAATTGCTAAGGTGCCATACATCACTATAATTTAGGCTAAGTATTATTAACCTATGAGTTAATCAAAATACCTTTTGGAAGATTTGTTTTTATTTTAAGTATTGTGCGCATGTGTGTCTCTGTGTGTGAGGGCATGTGTACATGAGTGTGTATGCTCACAGAGGCTAGAAAAGGGCAGTGCCCTCCTCCCCACTGAAGCTGGAGTTACAGGCAGTTAGGAGCACCCAACATGGGTGCTGGGAACTGAACTTAGGTCCCTCTGCAAGAGCACTGTGGGTTCTTAGTTTCCAAGCTATCTCTCCAGCCAAACCAAAAGCATCATAATCATTAAAGCTCTTTAATACATTTATTCCATTGTCCACTGTTCACCAAGAAAGAAAAAATGCTGTTGTCTGGTAGCATGCCAGCAGCCTGGCATAGACTTTGCGTTCATTTAGTAACCCAGAGTTTGGATGACTCTTATTTTCACTGCATTTTACAAAGATGGTTTTCTTTCTTAAGGGAGAACTCAGAAATGGAGTTGGATTGAAACATAGCAGAGGCACATCTGGGAGTGTGCATTCCCTGTGAGTACCGAGGGGGAAGCCATTGGCATTGCCCACAGAGCCCAGAATTGCTTTCAAAACTATCCCTAATTACAGTGCTCCAATCTTAGTCTCTGACAACAGCAAATAGTCCTTCCAGGCTGCCTCATTACCCGCCCTTTCTTTGCTTGTGGGAACCTACTTTTGTAAACACCAAGGACAAACAACTTGAGAGAAGATGCCAAGAGTTACAGCCAAAGTAAATAGTGGAACAGAACGAGCCTAGACATGGGGCATGTAAAATTCCAGACAGCAGCAAGAGAATGTCATGTCTAGTATCTGGTTTGGTTTCAAAAATGTTAACAAGTTGAGAAATGTATGGACTCTCTGTTTAATTACTCATGCCCCAGCAAAAGTGATTTACAGAGCTATAGAGTGTAGCAGCAAAGCCTGTTCCTAAGGCCATATTTTATTTAAACTGCAGACACTGCAGACTGCCATGCATGGGTACTTACAAAGTTGACTTAAAAAAAAACTACCAGCGTGATTAATGATGAAGCAAAATGCTGTGTAATAACTAGGACAGTTTCATATGTTTATCCTTTTCTTAACTTATTATAGACAAAATTGCACAAACCAGTCATTTCCACAGTCAAACCTGTGCATGGCCTGGATGGAGACTGTGCTCTGGAAGGTATAGCACACAGCAAAGTATCCCCAAGGCATTTCTACAAAGAAGGAAGGTAGCTACAGAGCACACACACACACACATGTACACACACACATCCACACACACCACACACCACACACACACCAGACACACACACACACACCACACACACACCACACACACATACCACACACACACATGTACACACACCACACATACCACACACACCACACACACACACATGTACACACACCACACATACCACACACACCACACACACACACGTACACACACACCACACACATACACACACACCACACACACACACACACACATATATATGAGAGAGAGAGAGAGACAGAGAGACAGAGAGACAGAGAGATAGAGAGAGGGGGGGAGAGAAGCTTTACTGATACATGGAGAGCAAAGTTAACTCTGTGAGGTACCCTGAAACCCAGAATTCTCCCCGAGATTGCAGGTCTCTGCATCCAGCTAGTCAGCCTAGTGAATACCCCTCTGCTCTCCCACAGGTACCTCAGAATCTTCACAGACAAACCTGACTGCACCCTGACTTTTTTGTAAGGTGTTTCCTACATTTCCCTGTGGACCACCATGAACCCAACGGCTTGTGGCAGAAACCCGGAGCCACCCCTTCTACACGCCCTGTCCCTCCATCTCCACATTCTACGATTGCTGAGATAGTTCAACCTAATTCCAAGACACCTCTCCATTTCATTATTTCATTCCATTCCCTCTCTATGGCTCCCATTTTTTTCTCCCCTGGATTGCTGTTGTGATTTAAAAATTAGGTTTTTAAAAGTCTCACCATGCCTACTCTAGCTTGTAGCCAGAACAGTCTCTAAAATGCAAGTCTTAGCAATCATTTTGTTCATGTACTGTAACACGTTTCAATAGTTTCTTGTATTTTTAAATTTAGTCAAGGACAAAACACATGTGGACCTTGTTGATATCAGAAGTTTAAGGCCCCGTACTTCTTATTTTTAACCTGCCAAACCACCATCTGCCCTTAACCATTAGAAGGAGACAATCACGTCTTTGGTTTTCCCTATTAACATTCAAAGTTCACGTTACTAAAACCCATGGTCATATAGAATACACATACTACCCAAATTCTTCCAATGCATAATGCACAATGAGTTCAAAAAGTCTCAGGCTATTATCTCAGGCAGGACATTTTATCAAGAAAAAATCAAAGGCAAATGGGTTCCACACTCCACGATGGGCTGTTGGGGTGTACCCACCCGGTGTCTACCATTCAGTGAGTTAAACTGAATTTCCCAGAGTAACAAAATGGCAGCAATTTACAGTCAGACTTCATGGCTGTAACAGCTCAAAGATTTATGTGTCCCTCCTCTTATGCTACCACCAGTTCCAGACTGAGCCTTATCATCTACAGTATCCCGAGAGATGGAGAAATGTCTTGTTCAAAACTTGGGGTCCAGGGCAGTTGGGTGTGCTGTGTTGAGTCCTCTACCAACCCTGTAATGATTTGTTCTTACTGAACTTTGGCTGGCTCATAGAATACCCCCTTTAAAAAAACCTTCCTTACCATTGTTGGGATCAAACATTCTGCAGTTCTTTGTCGAGATTAAC